TGAACAAAGCTGCAATAAACATGGGTGGGCATATATCTGCTTGGGTGGTGGTTATAGTTTCTTTAGGGTAGTTAAATTTACTTTTAATGAAATCAGGTGAAGATTTTTTAAAGCTGCATCTAGAAATTTCAGAAATCATCAAATTAAAACTTGCCTTTTTCAAATAAGGAAATGAATTCCAGAGGGCATGTCTACTGTCAGTCCCTAAGTGGGCCTCACATTTCTAGCCTTCTAAAATAATTTTTTTTCAAGTTAACATGATTCTAAAATCTGGACACAAAATCATACTTTCTAATGGATGACCTAAAATCATGCTATTTACAAGAAAGAAGGTATTTTTATCCATATAAATACTTTTTGGCCTACTGCTTTTGAAAGTCTGATGGCCACCGAAGTTTCAGTTGACTTCAGAGAACTTTATGAGCCATTGTTAACTTTAAACGTATAATCTGAGTTATGAGTTCAATTTAAATGCCAATTTCACCAAAGAGATAATGCTTTCTGAGTAAATCAATTCAAATTTTAAAAAAACTTGTTTAGAGAAAAACTCAAGACATAAAGTCGTGTGTGTACATGTGTATGTCTGTCTTTTTGTAACACATACTGCTTCTAAGAGTAGAGCATATTGTTTTACCTCATATGGTATGGCAAATGTTTTTAAAAATCTATTTTTATAACTTTTAAATAAACATTTCTCAACTGAAAAATAAAGGTCTTTAGAGAAAAGTGACACCAATATCTTATCCATGTATTTATTTTATTCATAAAATTTTTATACATAAAAATCATTCATTTGTAGTCAGTACCAACACTCTTACCATTGATAAATGTTAATCTCAAACAATAATTTAAGAACATATTTCAAAAGTTTATAGAATTCACCTATATGCACTTGAATGGAATTAATCAACAAATCCTAATGTAACTCATTATCATTTATCATTATAAATTATTCAGTTATATTAAAAAGATAATACGAATTTTATAATTTAACAACCAAGCAGACTAATTTAAAGATTCTATTTGTTTGAAAAGAAGAGCCTAAAAACAATAATAAGTGAAGCTGAAATTAAAATATCAAAATAAAAAATATTTCCTGGACTTTAGGCTGTTGATTTAATACTCAACACACTCTTTTGAAAAACGTTAAGACCCTTTTTAAAATGTTATAATCATATGTTTCTATATCTGTGTATATGCCCTTATTTTAAACATCCTTTTATAATTTCTAAAATAACTAAACTTATTTTTTAGTATATCTTTTCAACTTGCTGACTTAAAAACTGGGCTTAGACCTTTTGTACTCATATATATGTAGATATATGCATTATGGATATATCCATTTATATAATACAGGCATTAAATTTCAAAGAGACAATGAAATGTCATAATACTATTTCTATATGGCATTTACATAGACACTTGGGCAATGCACCACCACACACACACAAATGGTTAAGACAATCTCATCACACCCTTTGACTATTTAAAACAAAGCATTTGAAAACTCACTCAAAAACACCTGCAATACTACCTTATATACCCAAAACACAATGTCTTGAGTTATTATATGGAAAATTAATTTAATGATCTAATTTATTCATAATTATTATTACAATTAATAGGTATTATGATACCCTCTAGTGGGGCAGGCAGGTCATACCTCTGGTAATAATTTTCAATCGCCTCCAAAGTATGATGCTTGGCATGAGTTCTTTTAATATGTTTCTGAAACAAAACAAAAGATCTTCAAGCTGTGTCACATATCAGGTTCAAGAGCAAAAAGGACATATTTCTTGATCCCAATGTCTTATATGTAGGGCAAACTAAATAACAGTTTGGGGATTTGGGTGGTGGCAGAAATTTTCTTTCGCACCTACTCCGTGAACCAATGCATTTTAATCTCCATTGCCTGGTTGGTATGTCTTCAGACTGTACCACAGGGTACAGTATATATGTAAAAGCCAACAGGGTCACAGTAATTGAATCTAAATAAGTTTGCTTAGGGTTGCAGAGGGCAAAGAAAAACTTGCTCCCTCTTTCAACCTTTGTATTAATTTTCCCTCGATGCAATTCCATCTAAGTCCCCTGCACTCTAGTTTTACAATCCAATTGCCATTTTTAACCAGGAAGAACATTGCTTAAAAACAACTTATTTGAAAACTACAAAAAGTAATTCCATAGAGACTTGCCACTTGACTGACACCTGTCATCTCATGATAAATGACTCCATTTTCTGCCTCTCTTGCCTTCTGCCACTCCAGCAATGGTCATTTATCATCATCTCTGTCAGCAATGGAAAGCGGCACTGACAGTGCAAGTCAGCAAACATTTAGCACATGGAACCACGCAACACAGGGAAATTATTATTGTCAGAATAATAATGGTTTAGCATAATTTATTACAGGTCCACCAAATAAGCAAAGGCTAGATGCTATTAGACAGATGGATGGGTAGGCTTGGCAGGCCTCCACTGAGACGCAGGCGGTGCTTGATGTGGAAAGGAGAACATCCTCCAACCCAATCAGAGAGCTGGCAGTTCAATTACAAAGAAATAAAGGGACATTCATCATTCAATTAGGCACCTGTCAACCCTCACAAAGGAGAAAACTTCTAACCTGGTACTCCTGGGAGAAGATGCTCAGCAGAGTGGCCTGCGATTGACTGGAACAAATAAAAGAAGGACAAAGTTAATTACTGGAGTGCACGGCAAAGAAACAAAAGAGAAAGGGGCTTCAAAGGTAGGCCTGCTGCCCTGTAATCTAACAGAACATGAAAACAAGTGTGGAAAAGTTGTTCCAGATGAACACCTCAAACAAAGGCTTCCTGCTGCTAGGTCAAGGAGAGAGAAAAGGGAAAGGGGAAAATATGGGTAATCTCAAAGAAAACTATCATATTATCTGGATTTTAAAAAAAATTAGAATGATCATAAGTTATATCCATAGCATTCATAGTGTTAAAAGAGGCAAAGAGAAAAGAAAGTAACTGCAACATTTATTTCTTCTAATAAGTGGAGTTAAATCCCCTTAACAGTTTGCGGACATGCAGCTCATTCACTGTCAACAAGGTGAAATTTATTTTGTTAGTAGGCAAGGATCTTCTTTTTTTAGGTATCTCAGATTCAAAGGGAAAAATAAAAACCAAAATACACAAAACTTTGGTCTTAACTAGAAGTAACACAGAGACCATAGGAACATCCCCACTGAAACTGGTGTAGTTTAAAAAGAAGAGCTTTCACAGCAGGAAGCGAGGTCCTTGGAGTCTGCCATTCCCAAAGATTGCCACAAGCTTCCTTCATCTTACGCTCCGCTCAATGTCAAACACCTGGCAGGGAAGCAACCTGCAAAGCATTCTTCCCAAGTGGGAATTTTTCTCTCTCGATTGCTAACATTTAGAAATGGTGAATCTTCCCCCCCCCAAAAAAGCAATCAATATCCTCCTGTTACTCCTTTTAATTGTCCTCTGCAGATAGATCCACCAGACCACGTCTTGAAAACAATTAATTATGCCTGATGTATTTTTCTACCAGATGCTATTTGAACAAATTACAGTTCAAATAATTAGACTTTTATAGCACACCAACGTACTGTGAATAATTAATTTTTTTTTCTGTTTCATGAATGAAATCTCTTAAGCACATCACAGGTAATTTGAGGATTGTGAAAGAAAAACAATGATATCATACTTCTTTCCTCACACTCATAGTGCTCTGAGCTTCAGCACTGTGCCATGGATTGGCTTCCAACCTTTTATTAGAAAGGAGTAGATAAAATGGAAGGATGGACAGATGGATGGATAGATGTATAAATAAACTGATATATTAATCCATTAATAACAAGACGCAATGCATTACCAAAGGTCTGTTTCAATAACTTGAAAGGAATGAGAAGTGATTGATTACAGTCATAAACCCATTATAGTTCAATTTTGTCAGTTTCCCTTTAAAAGTAAACATCTCTTTGAAAAAGCCTATTTATGTAAGCTTCCACTATGTCTGGGTTGCTTCAGTTTCATACCTTGGAAGATCACTAAGGGGGTGGGGGTGGGGGAATTAACAGAATAATGCAAAAAACACCAAAAAAATAGTCTTTGAAAACTAGTGACTAGATCAATGTTAGCTATTTATACACAATGAATAGAACTCTCCTCACTGCATGGCAAAATGTATTTATGTCATAACCAAAAACTGGTAGACAAAGTTGATTCTCTACTTGTCAAAAAACGTGGGGGAAAATGTGGTCATAACATGAAGACAGCAAACCGTGAATATGGTAGAAATGTTGCTAATGGTGCCCAGAATGAGAAGACTAAGAGGTAGTTGTATACCTAAATTCAGAAAGACGAAGTTCAAAGTCAGGAGTTGAAGATGTTACATAAACTAGGGCCCAGATAATGAATTTAGAGAGAAAAACATCTTTATAATCAATTCTACAGAGCAAACCAGTTTTTCAGTGGCCAACAGGGTTGAAGAGAAAAGTGCAGTTTATACTGGGAATGGCTGTAATTAGCTGTCAAGTTGGCCCCTTACTTATACTAACCCTGTGCGTGAAAGAAGAAAACTCTCAAGAGCCCCGTGTCACCCTCACAATCATTTTATAGAATGAGCCTTTGTGGTCCATGTGGATTTTCTGAAGTGGATCATCAGGCCTTTCTTCCTAGTTGCTCTTGGCCTGGAAGTTACATTGAAATCTATTCTGATCATTGCACTGTATAAGGGTGGTGATTGTCTATGAGGTACACTGGCCAGGAATAAAGCCAGATCTCCTACAAGAGAGGTGAGAAGTCAACCAATGAACCACCAGTGCTATCGCACACGGATGGCAAAAGCTGCCTAGAACTAAAAGAAGAAAACAACTTAATCACACAGTAAACAGAGAAAGGAAGCCCTGAATCCAGAAAGGAAGAAAGTCCTGGATCCAAAACCCTTGGGATTTGGTTGACATGACAAAGCTAGAAACTGTTTACTAAGAAGCTTACCAGACAACTATCTGTTTCCATGGGTGCTAACCTTATAGTTTTCCTAACAAGATTCATACCATAATGAGCAGTAAAGCCATTTTAACACCTTCAACAAATTGATGCCAGTATATGTCAGTTTTGGAAGCAGGACTGGCATCCACTTCCTAAACAATACGGCTTGGGAAATCCTATGAACTTTGATAAATATCAATAGTTGTAGAGTGGCTTCGGGCCTTTTGTTCATAGGGTCGCTATGAGTAGTGCTTGACTCGAAGACAATCAAATGAACAACAACCTGTCATTTAGTTTTTTCTTTCAATGTGTTAATGCTGAGAGGAGAACCCAAACGCAAAGAAACAGGGCCGTGAATGAGGAAAGGAGAAGAGTTACGTGCTCTCTAGGCTCTGCAGAGCTCACAACTTAACACTCTCTCCACAGTACCCTCCTCCTCCTCACTTCCTGGTGTTTGGTTCATTCGTGCAAAGGTCTGCAAAAGTCGTACGATAAACTAGATTCACCAGGAATAGAGTTTTGAGCTAGGGAGGATGTTGAGGGAAGGAACATTCTGTGCAGAAATAATATCTTGAGCACTACACTCGTTAAGTCAACAGTGTTTACTAAGCATCTAGGATGCTCCAAGGTCATGGGTATAAAGAAATAAACCATGAAAAAGAAATGAATCCTATAGACAGAAGCTATGTTAGAGAAAACGTTCAGCATATACAAATGCAAAAGGTACAAATTAGAGAAAAGTCAAATACCCCCACATTCTTTAGAGAAGTAGGGAAATAAACCATGCCTTGAATTCTCATATATTTCAAGAATGTCTTGGCTTTGGAGGTTATACATACTATTTAGCATATATGATGCTTCAAATTTACATAATTAAAAATGCAGCCACTTCATTTGCATCAAATGCCCAAGATGTATTATTAAAACTTCAAAACACAGCTTTGCTTTTGTTCTTTCTCAGGCTGCTCCTCCAGACTAAAGCCCTTCAACCCCATAGCTGTCTGAACAAAGGAAAGCATGTGATGGACCCCAGGAAAAGTTATGTCAAACCCTATTCCAGTCCTGGGACCAAAGCCTGTGTGGGTCTGCAGCAGCTATCAATATGGACACAATTCTGAGGACAAAGTCAACACGATGGGGACCAGAAGCCAGAATACGGAGTGAGCCCAGGTATTTGAGGCTACTACTGGACTACTTGCATGGCAGTGGAACTGAAGTTCTTATTTTGTGTAATCACAAATGTCTTTCATTTTAACAAATGAATACAAATTTTTCCCAGGTTTCTCTGTATCCTGGTACAGGAGACACATGATAAGACAGAGCTCTGAAACAAAATGGGCTGCCTGTAATGATGGCATAGGTGAGGGGTCAAATCCTAGAAAAGGGCTGTTCATTTCCACACTTCTCTAGGTTTCTTCTTAGCTAGCCATTGCTACATTTGGCTTCCATCAATGTGTTCCTTTGCCACAGTCATTAAATTGTTTTGGCAAGAGATCACAAATTGGAGTGTGTGTGATTTTTCCAGATAGATTTTGATGAGGTACCATTTATCTTAACTCCGTTGTTGTAGATCTATGTCGCTGAAACAGAACCATATCACAGCTGACCCATCAATAGGTTTTGAGAGACTTAAATTGTGTGAGAAGAGATTGCTCAACTTTCTCCGGCAGAAAAGCTGGGGAATTCAAACTGCCTTCCTTTGGGCTGGTTGTGCAACTTTGTACACCTTTGTACCCACCTATACAATGTTCAAAATTCTGCAGGTGGCCAGAATACAGACAAATAACAAACCAGTCCTTGAAATACTATTTAACTCAAGTAAAATAAAGCAAAGTAATTGCTACAGTGTTGGAACCAACTCATGCCTGATCCTCCAGGGGAGTTTTAAGCTGTAAACTGCACGAGGGGAGTTTTCTCATCTTTCTCCTGATAGCTTCAAACTGCCAGAGAGGCAAGGCCTTTGCATTAGCAGAGTCCTATGGAATGAGATATCAGAGCTCCCTGTTTAACTCAAAATTTTCCCCAAATCACTCAGTTAAGAGGCTCAAACCTCGACAAGAAGCTGTACTGCAATCTCATGAGGCGCACGGTTCGAATCCACCAGATGCTCTGCTGGAGAAGGAGGGGCAATCTCCTGTACGAGTCAGATCCAATTTGATGGTACACATACACACAAATAATAAAATAAAATAATAAAAAAAAAGAGGCTCAAACCTGAGAATATAAAGAAAATTAACATCAGTGGGTTGGATAAGTACAGCAAAACTAACAGCAGGGCTTGGCATAGACTAGTTGCAATAAAACACTCATATCTAGGTGAAGTCTTTACACGCTGAGATACCTATGGCAAGCTGATTTTAACAACACAATAAGGCATCTTATGTTTTATATTTCTTCTTCTCAGTTACCGTCTCAATGAAAAGACCACAAATATGTCAACAGAGAACTGGCAGATGTGCAGGATGGATTTAGAAGAGGTTGCTGTACTAGGGATATTATAGCTAATGTAAGATGGATCTTGGCAGAAAGCAAAGAATAGCAGAGGAATGTCTATCTGTGCTTCGTTGACTATGCAAAGGCTTTTGACTGTATGGATCACAACAAGCTGTGGCTGACTCTGAGAAGAATGGGAATCCCAGAACATTTGATCGTGCTAATGCGAAACCTATACTTGGACCAAGAGGCAGTCGTCA